TTTATACTTTATACCATTTGTTTGAAAGATTGTAACTCATTGAATATAACACCAAAAACAACAAAATTATAGTCTAAAATCATATACAAACTCTAATTACATGTTGAAAAAACCGCATGTCAATCCGACATAAAAGAATGAGGTATGTTTGTTTAAAGAATTTCACAGACTACAAAAGTTTAAATTTCTTACTAAAAAGCTGAAATATTTCAGCTTTAATATCTCATATTTGAAGGATTGTAACTCATTGAATATAACACCAAAAACAACAAAACAATAGATTAAAATCATCTACAAACTCTAAATTACACGTTGGAATAAACCGTATGTCAATCCGACTTAAAACGAATGAGATATTATTGTTTAAAGAATTTCACAAAATACAAAAGTTGAAATTTCTTGCTGAAAATATGAAATATTTCAGCTTTGACATCTCATCTTTGAAGGATTGTAACTCATTGAATATAACATCAAAACAACAAAATTATAGTCTAAAATCATCTACAAACTCTAAATCACACGTTGGAAAACCCCGCATGTCAATCCGACTTAAAACGAATGAGATGTGCTTGTTTAAAGAATTTCACAAAATACAAAAGTTTAATTTCTTGTTGAAAAACTGAAATATTTCAACTTTGATATCTCATCGTTGAAGGATTGTAACTCATTAAATATAACACCAAAAACATAATTATAGTCTAAAATCATCTACAAACTCTAAGTTATACGTTGAAAAAAACCGCATGCCAATCTGAATTAAAACGAATGAGATATGCTTGTTTAAATAATTTCACAAAATATAAAAGTTTGAATTTGTTGCCGAAAAGCTGAAATATTTCATCTTTGATATCTCATTTTGAAGGATTGTAACTCATCGAATATAACACCAAAAACAAGAAAATTATAGTCTAAAATTATCTACAGACTCTAAATTACATGTTGGAAAAAATCACATGCCAATCCGACTTAAAACGAATGAGATATGTTTGTTTAAATAATTTCACAGAATACAAATTTTTTTAAAATAAACCGGTCCAAAACCGGTTTTTACCCGGAACCGGCCGGTCCGGACCGGTAAAAAAACCAGACCGATTTTGCTCAAATCCTAGAACCGAGAACTGGCCAGAGGTCCAAAAAAAGGTCCGGTTTGGTCCGGTCCGATCTACAGGTCCAAATGCTCACCCCTACTAATAGGAATTAAACCTAAACCATCATAAACAATTAAAGCCCTAAATCCCTTGGCATAAAACCATATATGTGGAAATAGGAAGTAACCCTCCTTAATGCTCTCTGGTTGTTGCTGATCGGGCACTTGGAAATGTGAGTTGGCACTTCACGAAGTGATCGATCACTTGGAGCATGCACTCCTCCTAATGAGAATGTGTTGTAGCCCTCCTAAATGCGCTACAACAGTTGTTGAATGTGCTTCTCTTACTGGATAATGCGATGAAGCTTCCTGCATGCGCTCCAACTCAAGGTAAATGTGTCCATGACCTTGTAAATATGTTGCTTGCTTCTAAATGAGCTCCAAGTCCTAGAAAATGCACTCATTGATCTTAAATGCGCTGGTATGTCCTTTTGGGGGAGTTGTTGAATATACCAAGGTGCATGGCAGGTGTCCATGCACATCCCTCAAGGTTGAAGATTCTAGAAGCAATTTCATATATAACGTCCCATGATTGGCTTGTTCCATTTAGGTCCTAGCTATGGATGTGCATGGACCACCAGAATTATATCCTTATGCTTGTTTATAAATAGTCACTCCCATCTCCATCAACATTTATGCTAGATACGTACATGTATGAGGGGACAGATTTCAAGAGAGCAATCATTATGAGGTTGATAACCTGTCTTTTAGTGTAGTTTGTCAGCAAAAGAGATTGTGCTCAAGTGAAGTGCACCCTTTTGTGAGTGGTTGTAATTTTTCTTGGAAGTTTAATAAAATTACATTGCTCTTGTTCACCCATAGACGTAGGTCACATCGACCGAACCACGTTAAATACTATGATCAGTTTTACAGTTTTTCGAGTACTATTTTTTAGAAGTTTAAATGACAATGCACTTTATAAAGATAATCTCTCACTGCTACCTTCAGTAGAAGCAAGAAATCTGAATATAGAGATCAAGTGATGTTAGATGGGAGTTCGGAAAAAGACTTTGTAAAGGCTTCTAGAACCTAAAAGTATGCGAAGGTTCTACAACTAGTAGAAGCTCATATATGCTTGGAGCAACTGGAGTGAGTGGGAGCAAAGCTAAAGATAGTAGAAGAAAAGCCACTAAAAACACATCCTCGGAAACTCCCTGAAGATCACTTGGAGAAAGGAGATATCCACTCATATATATTCTCCATCAACAAATTTATTATTACTATCTAAAAATGGAGAACCATAATCTTATTAGGAATCATTATGGATGAAAGGCTCCATATAGTGGAATAGAGATATAAAGGTTGAGTTGAGCTCATTTGACAAGAAAAAGACTTGATCCTTAGTCAAGTTACCGGCTAGGAAGAAGGCACTTTAGAACAAATGCATGTTCTGGGCCAATGATGAGATTGATGGGAGAAAGATGCACAAGTAAAAGGGTCCCAAAAGGCAAGAATTGATTACAATGAAATTTTCTAACCATTTGTGAAGATGAACACAATCTGAATGGTTATTGGAATTTTTGCTACATAAGATTTACATCACAATTAGCCGGACATGATGACATATTTCTTCGATGGTGTCCTTGATGAAGATAACTATATGGAACAACTATAAGGTTTTTAGATTCTTGAAAAAGAAAAGTTGGTGCGGAAGTTGAATAAAAGCATGTATTGATTGAGGCAAGCATTAAGACAATGGTACTTGGAAGTTTGATGATTTCATGAAGAGGAATTTGTACATGAGATGTGAGAATGATCATTGTTGCGACCTGAAGAAGTTCAAATTTTATTACATCATCCTCTTACTATATGTTGATGACATGTTGGTGGTTGGACCTAACATGTAATAGATCAACAAGTTGAAGAAATGGTTGTCTAAAGAATTTGAGATGAAAGACTTAGGAGCTGCTAAGAAGAATCTTGGCATGAGCATTATCAGGGATAAGGCTATAGGTACTCTAAAACTTTCCTAACAAAAGTACATTAAAAAATTATTAAATAAGTTTAGCATGGCAGTTGCTAAGATGAAAATTAAACCTCGTATGAGTTATTTGAAACTCTCCAAAAAGCAATACCAGAAGACAGAAGAAGACAACAAAAATAGCAAAGGTTAACTACGCCTCAACAGTTAGTAGTTTAATGCATGTGATGGTATGAACTAGACTAGACATTGATCACACAATGAGATTTGTTAGTAGATTTATGTCAAATATGGGGAAGGAGCATTGAGAAGGAGTCAAGTGGTTTCTATTCTACTTGAAAGGAACTTCAGACGTAGCCTTATGTTTCGAAAGGCAGGAGGTTGTCCTAGAAGGCTTCATTGAGGCTGTCTTATTAGGTTGTGTGGATTATGGAAAGAGCACAACATGTTATGTCTTTGCAATAAGGGTAATAACCATCAGTTGGATATCTAAATTACAAAAGATAGATTCTCTTTTAACAACTGAAGTAGAGTATATGACTATATCATAAGCTAGAGAGGAGCTCATTTGCATGAAAAACTTCCCCTTGAATTTGAGCATGGGACAAGAAGATTGTGTCGTACATTATGATAAACAAGTGCAGTACACTTGGAGAATAATGCAGTTTTTCACGAAAGATTGAACAAAATACATCAATATGAGGTACCACTTTATCATAGAATTGATAAGTGATTATACTCTAAATCCAAAGAAGATCATGGTACGAAGAACCCAACAATCATGTTTACTAAGGAAGTAACCATTGAGAAAGAGATGGGTGTTACACAACTTGGGTGGAAGCAGATTGGTTGATCAATCTTCAAGTGGAAGATTATTAAGTTGTGGAATATGATTCTCCATTTGGCCTCATTGTCAGCACGGAGACCAAGCATGGGTCCCTCTCTTGAACGAGTGGGTGGAGGTCAAGGGGAGTTGGCCCTTTTGTAGGGTTGAGGGAAACGCCCGTGAATAAAATTATCTTGGAGCAGTTCACATTGTAGAATCCAAGGGTTCGGGTGAATTTGCTACTACAAAGCTTCGATTGTAAAGGTGAAACCGCTTGGCAAAGTTGTTGGGTGGGTGAAGCTTCAAGAGCAAAGATATATACTACAAAAGAGGTTAGCATAAAAAAAGTAAAGCTTTTGATGAAGTTAAGAGGCTAAGTATGAAGACTTGGATTGAAGCCAAACACAAACACCGAAGCTTAGCCGCAGAGAGCAAAGCTCATCACATGAGCTTTGCATTCGGTATACATCATGCTTAATTTGGACTTCAATGATCAGAAGTAGTCCTAGACTTTGAACTTCGGTTTGACCTAGTAACTTGGAGACCAAGTCTGTTATCATGTGCTAGCTCATGTTGGTGATGTCATAAGGCTATAGGCCCCAATCCAAAAAAGATTTGATATGTCAGTAATATTATAATCATAATGCAGAAAATGTGTATTAAGATTATCAATAAAATTTCTCTAGTTCATTTATGAATGTAGCTAGATTACTTTGATCAAATGAACCTCATTAAATCCTTGTGTTCTTTATTATTCTATGTCTTTATTATTATGTTTGTGTTTGTCCAAGTCCTTAATCCTAACGGACATTGTTGTAGGGATCATGTAACAAGTTCCTATGGGGTAAGGTCAAAAGGACGACCAAACCGAACAAGGCAATTAGCAATGGACATTTCAGTCACATTTATGCTGGAACTTTGATATGTGTGTTTCCATCGGTATCCATTGCAAACTTATAAATTCCCACATTTTATATATTCCAAACGCATAAAATTAATTAATAGATAACAAAACATTACCATTCAAATACCAAAATTATCAACGTTGCACATTCACATTCAATTTTAAAAGTACAAAGAACAACATTGATGAAAGTTTGATATTTTCACTTTCCTCCCTTCCTATTTTGCAATGTTGTGATCATCTTCTCCATTTCTTCATATCTGGCATCAATGTGTCTTTGTTTGGCAGTTATATCTTGACGTGTGGCCTCTATTTCCTGAACTCTTGCATCCATTTCCTCACGCATTTCTTGACGTCTGGCCTCAATTTCTGCAGCTTTTGCATCAAGTTCTTGACGTTGTGCCTCCATTTCCTCACGCACACGTTCATATATAACCTTCAGATACAACATTAATATAAACGGTAGATTTTTTCTAAGTGCAATGCCTTATTAAGAAAAACTCTAACAATGTTGTAATATAAAGAAATGAAAGTAGGATGCTATAATGACTAAATAAATTAAAGGACAATGCTATAACTGTATTTTTATTTCTTTAATAAATTCTGTTTTAGTTCTTACTTTCAACTTCCAAAAAATGAAAGTAGAATGATATAAAGAACAAAGAAGTTAAAGTGCAATGCTATTAACCCGATAGACTCTTCAAAGTACAATGGCTTAATAACACAAAAAAAATTGAAAGTACATAGCCAATAACTTTATTATTCTTGTAGGATTAAAATATTCCACTACAATGGATCATTATGCTTCAAAAAGCAGTCTGAGAGCTGTATCAGGTCAATTGGAAAATAGATTTACCAGATAAATTTTGTGAAATTGAATAACGTGTCCAAGTCTGTTAACTCATTAAAATTTGACCTTTTCTGATACTTTCTGAATTATGATCAAATTTACTAAAATCAAGCAAAATCAGATTCAGCACCTAAATCTGGTCCGTAATTTTATCACAACTGTCAAAACTTTCTAATAAATTTGAACAAATAAACTTTTATCAATTGTATTAATTATTATACTGTTTCTGTTTTAACGAAAAACAAATAAAGTTCTCACGTACTGTATTTTTATGTTCATTTAAGGGAATTAAAGTAAGATGCTATAATAAAACAAATAACAAACAAAACAAACCTCCATGTTCTCTTGAGATGTTCCTGTACTTTGGGCTCCTGAAGACCCCACCAACAATCTATGGGGATCAGATACAGAACCCCATCCAGATATTCTTCCTTTTTTTACGCCTCCACTAACATCACACCATAATTCACTATCCCACAGGGGATGACAATTAGGATCATCTCCATACTTATCCACCATAGCTTTTTGATACGCATCCTATTATAGTGAAACCCCATTAACTAGTATCAGTTCATAGAAAAAATAATTACAACTTACTTTACTTGACCACTTTTCCAAAAAATCAAAAAAACTACCGCAGTTTTCCCAGCTTTTGGTGTAATGTACTCTTGAGTTAACTTGTTAGTGTGTAACCTTGCATAAAGTTCAAGCCCAGTAGGAGGTCTTTTGAGCTTTTCTTGCTACAAAATTTAGAAGTAATTAGACGTACAACATATAATCATATATAGAAAAAAAATTTAAAACGTTATATATATAATATCTTACGAGTCTGGCTTTATGTTGAGGAATTGAAATGGAACCACCACAATGTTTGGAAACTGAGCCATCTTCCATTTTATTTCTGTTTTGTTTTCCAGATTCAGACCTACGTTTCCATTTTGATGTGTTCCACACTTTGTCAATCATATATACCCAATCTTTCTTCTTAATCCATTTTGGATTAAATGGTTTTAACAACGATAAATCGCCTTGTAGTGAGGCTTTCACATTTGCATCCAAGGCTTGTTGAAGTGAATCTTCACGTGCACTTTGCATTATGTTAGAAAAACGTTTCTTGTAGCTATTCTCCCATGCTGTGTGAACAAGTGATTCAGAACTCAGTGGCCATTGGTATAATCCCTACATGCATTTATATCATTAGCTTTAACATTGTAGAAAAAGTTATGAATTATTAAAATAGAAAGATAAGTAAGTATAAACCTTAAAGTGTTGCCATAATGCTTCACGCCCAGTTGAGTCAACTTCTTTCCATGTGGTCCATGGGCCATGAAACCTAGTCTTTAATATAGATGTCATCTTTCGTATGACTGAATTGTGATCTGTAAATCTTGAGAAAATAAACGATAAAACAATTCATATTATTAGTTTATCACCACAATTAACAATTGTAGTTTAAATATATGCATACTCTCCATCACTATTGATGTCGATTTTCTTCCTTTTGGATGATGGGTTAGTAAACTCTTGTTCCATGACATTTGACTCTTCATCTCCTTGAGATGAAAGAAGAAGATTGAGAATTGTTTGATTTCGATCTTTGATCTTCAACTCCTTTAGATGAATGAGAAGAAGGTTGAACTTGAGACTTGTTTGATTGTAATCTTTGATCATCATTGCATGACTCATGTGTCTTTTTATATCCACGAACACGATTACTACGGCGTGGAGCCATCACATAATAAAATACCTTAAACAAGTGGAATGCATGTGCGTTACAACGTTGTACTTTGGAAAAAATATAATTTCTAAATCGTATAGAAGATATGAAAAATGAAACTTGAGGTACGATCATGATGAATCACTTCCATTACCTTGATGGATTCTTGATCAAAAACAGCGTTTGCTTCCAAAGTATGGTGCCTTATTGCCAAATAGTGGGAATCCATATATAAAGAAAGAAACTTGAGGTGAGATATAGGATATCACAACTATGAATCTCCAGGAAAGATCATGACAATTCACTTCTATTACATTGATGAATTCTTATCGAAATCAGCAAAAATGTACACGAATTATTAAAGTGTCGACAAATTTTCCATATATACAGAATAATAGCGTGTTAACAAATAAGATAAATTACACTAGACTTGATCAAAAAATCAAATGACACAATCAGTCAACAAAATTGTCGATCAAAATTTTTGACATACTTTTGTCCACACACTCTTTAAATACTTACTCTCAACCTAAGGGGAGGAACATGCTTTTAAAACACCACTGGACTAAGGGCCTTTGGTATAGAGGGGGACACATTTTCAAACAATGCTAGGGCAAGGGCTTTTTGGTAGATGTGAGTATTTGAACAGAATGAGCAGAAATATGCATGCTTCTAGTCTATCTAGTACATAAACAAAAGAAAAAGAACAGAAAATAAGGAAGAGTGTAAGCTGACCCATTAAAGAAATTCGTTTATACCTCCGAATTCCACAGTTCTTCGTGCTACGAAACACCGTCAAGAAGAAGATTAAACTGAAGGTAATGGAAGAGCGACACTTCCGTTCTCTGATCGTTTCTTACTTTCTTACAAGAAACCCAACTTTAGACAGGTGAATGAATGTGCATAGACTAAATGGCCATGGTTACAGTTTCCAAGAAATTTAAACTCTCTCTCTCTCTCTTCCGTGAAAATGTTACAGTTTCCTAGATATACAAATCATCTCATCCACCAGACCACCACTTTTTTTTTTTTTTTTTTTTTTTTTTTTTTTTTTTTTTTTAAAGCAACTACTCTATAGTATACTCTCACCACATTCAACCACTAAACTTATGAGATACGCACCACTATATTCCTCTTATTTTTTTTTATTTTTAAATTAAAAAATATATATTTTTTATTGTAGATAGAGGTTAAGAGAGTAAGAGAGATAGAGAGAAACGAATTGTATTGGGCGTTTGGAATTATTGTCCGGAACACGAAGGGCCACGATCACAACCCATCATGAGCCACCGAGATGGTGTGCACGGTCGTGGTTCGTGGCCACCTAGACCACGACCCACTTCGTGGCCACCATACTGGATGGTCTTAGAAACGACAAATAAAAAGCACCAAACCTGAAACAAAAAGCTAACAAGCAATGACAGATACTGTACGGTGCTTTTTTTAGCTAATGGTAAAAAGTTGTTGTATAGGCGTCAAATTAATTTTTACAGTTTTTACAATTTCAATTAGGGTGTTATAAATGGTTTATCAATGAGTGTTTTCATTTATTTTTTTTTAAATTTCAATAAAAAAATAAAAGCTTTTGTAAAAACCATACTAAAATTAAAAATAACATAAAATTAAAAATTATATTTTAGAAATTCTAAAAATAAAAAATTATATTTTAGAAATTTTAAAAATAAAAAATAACATGAAATTAAAAATTACATTAAAACCTAAAAAAAATGAAGTGAAAAATTCTTTTTTTTAAAAAAAAAGGAAAAAAAAAACATAGAAAAAAAAACATAACATCGAAATTTCATTTGCGGTTTAGCTTATATTTTTCACGGATCGACTCCTTCACCGTTTTAGTTGCCTCTTGATCTTCGGGGTCGAAGTGTCTCACATCTTGCATTAACAACGAATATTCTGTGAGTCGGACGGTTTTAGTCACATGTCTCTCTAAAGTAGAATTCAATTGTGTCATTTGTGCTATCATTTCCTCCGATCAAGCTGACTGCTCGGTTCCGACCGACAGAAGATGTTGCTTTCTCTTTCCCTTTTGTTCGAGCTTTTTGTTTTGTCCCTTCTCATTGGAGGAAGAGGCATGCGTATTTCTTCGATGTCATCGTTATCATCATTAAGATTAACGCCTACGTGACCATCCGATGAGACTTGTTATGAGCTCGAATATGAAGATGTATGGCTTCTTTTTGGCAGATTAGCAATTTCTTCATGTGTTGCAAGTTCCCTCTACCTAATGCTTCTTTTGACAACTTCCCAAAGATGAATAAACTTAAAAGGCTTTAGCATATCATCTTGGAATGTAGTGTGCACTTTTTTCAACAAAATCGCTTCACTTTCACCTCTAGCCCATTGTTTTTCAAAGTTTGTATAAATTCCATTCCAATGTGTCACGAGTTTGTTCATAAGATTCCATTTAGTTACATTGGTCGGAGATCCGATAATCTAGATCTCGACCCATTCCCTTATAAAACCGCTATGTGATACGTAACCAAAATTGATCGCGATTTTGACCATTTCCCGTGGCACCATCTTCGGATATGTCAACCCATGGCTTTTGTCACACCCCAAAACCGGAACGGCGGAAACGTTCTGGGGTGGAGGACGTCATGTACAGTATCACAACAAAGCATAATAGTAAACAAACAACAACATCCATTGCATTAATAGAATAATTTTAATACAAACGTGTTCTGTATAGTATGTAAGACACCAAAATGGATAATCAAAATAAAAGATGAGTCTTGTATGTGCTCCATCTTCTCAAAAGCTTCATCAGTACCTGTCTACTGATGACCTGAGAATACAAGTTATTTTGAAAGAGTTTATCAGCATAACGCTGGTGAGTTCATAAGTAATTAGTGTCATTGCTTGTATGAAAATGTTTGTAACAATTTAGTATATATGTTCGTAGCTGTTTGTAATTAGTTGAACTCTCTAGAAAATCCTATATTTTCTATAAAAATGTAGCCTTCTACCAAGACCCGACTGTTTGCATGTTTGTTCCTTATGTAGTGTAAGAGTTTTCCCCAGTGAAACTATCATTATGAAAATACAGTTTTTACTTAAATGTGTATGTGACATGATCACAAAGTAAATGTCATAGGAAAATAATGTTTTACCTCAGCAGTGACACTGTTGGTTATAAAGTGATGAAATACAGACTCCAGGTAGTACTAAATGTACCGTACACCTCGGGGAGTCTAAAGAAAATGAAAATGCAGACTTCGGGTGGTATTAAATGAACAATACGCCTCGAAAAGTCTGTTTTGCCTTTAATTCTTAATTGGTTAATTAAAGGTTTGAATGTGAACTCATATGTAACCATGCTGATCGACGGCTGAATAACTGATGACCCCCCGGTGTCATATGTAGTGAGGTAACATTCTGTCACCCCTTGGCCTGATCAGCTGGGACTGTAGCTAGCAGTCAGGGTGTGGGAGTGTCTGTCCCGTATAGATCTATACACACAATGCCCGCTCTCCCTCCAGGAGACTCTGGTTACAAAGTGATACCACGATGAAGTGTAGTATCGAGAAGTAGTATGTCACATTCTATTTATAGTGTTCAAATGTTTGTGTAGTAAACCATAGTGTAGTGATGCTTTCTCTGTACTAGTATATAGTATATTCCCTTGTATAGTGTATAGTATGTTCTCTTGTATAGTGTATAGTAAGTTCTCTTGTATAGTGTATAGTGTGCTCTCTTGTATAGTGTATAGTGTGTTCTCTTGTATAGTGTGTATTGACTCATATCTGTACTAACTCTTGTAAGTGTCGTTGTAATAGTAGTAGTAAGTAGTAGTCCCTTAACTATACCTATTATAGTTAAATAGAAATGTTGTTTGTATGCCTTTGTTACACAAAGGTACTGAACTGTAGTAAAAGATTTTATATCCACACATGTATATACGATATATAACTAAGATTTCAACGACATTCGGACAAATAACAGGATACCCTAAGTCCACAACCAAACAAGGAACAGGAAATAAGGTGAGCTATCAGTCCTAAGTCCTTCAAACCTTACTTATATAAATATAACTGTATAGATATGAGTTTGACAAGTATGTAAGTTTAAGAGAATTTGAAAACAGTTTTAGCATTTAAAAGAGTTTAATAAAAGGTTTTGAAGTGCTTGAAATCCATAAGTTTGATAGCAATTTGAAAGTAATAGTAAATCTTTCGGCTTGTTCTAGTTATTAATCATATGTGATTAAAGAAATAACTAGAATGTTTCAACTTGTATTCCCCCCCATAAAAGCATTTAAAATCATTTCAAAGGTTGATTAAGGGGTATGAACTCACCTGAAATGAGTGATGTGAATGTAAGATCGAGAAAAGGATGCTAAGTGTCAAGTGAAGACTTGAACACACACACGGATCCTATTAACATATAAAGACACATATATGTATACAATTAGTGTATATTCAACTAATTAAGAAGGATAACACCCTTATAGTCTAGGAAACACTTATATTGAAGTGTTACAATCACAAATGATTGCATAAAAGGAGTGTATGGTCACCAAATGAAGCTTTTGATCCAAGTGGTATGTTCCTAGGAGTTTTCGGTCCATATGGTTTTCGGTCCATATGATGTTTTCGGTCCAAATGGTTCTCGGTCCATGAGGTTAAAACCGAAAACTCAAGATACTTGGTGCATGTGGTGATTTTCAAGGGCTTTCAAACATGCATAGGGGTTCTAAGTTTTATCCAAAGCCTTAAGTGAGTTTTAAGGTCTTAAAGGCACCTTTCTTTAGGGTTTTCGGTCAAAGGAGATGCACTATACCGAAAACTCCTTTTGTTCT